TACCCCAACCCCTGCAGCTATATCATAGAAACTGATTCCCAATGCAGGCATATGACAGGAACTTGTCCCTCCAGGTGATGTGTGGTTGCAGGGCTGGAATTCAAAGCCTTCCTGTGCAGCAGTAGGAATGGAGAATGGTGCAGATCTTTGGAGAGGTTGATGCAACAATCACACTGTAGGCAGGTACTCAGACGTGGCAGGCATGTAGCCACGTCTATCATGCTTCTTCGTAATCTGCAAAGGGCTTGTGACCCAAGTGTCCCCCAACTGATGCATGGATAAGCAGAACTTGCTCAGGGCCACACACTATTACTGCATTAGACAAATGAGGGAGGTGCCATTTCCTGCTGCCCTGTGTGTGAGCCCGCCAATATGCTCACAAGGAAAGAGCCAGACACAGTAGGGCCTGAGTCATGTGACCCATAGTCACGTGATATCCAGAACAAGGAGATTCTTGTACATACAGAGTATTTTAATGGCTGTCAGGAGCTATGGGGAGGGGAGGGTGGGGTGACTCATCAATGGTTATGCAATCTGTCGAGCAGTGACTAACATAGCATGAAACCAGACACTGGAAAACCAGGCCAGGCAGGAATGAAATGTGAGTCCTGAGGGGAGGTTCTCTGAGCTGTAAGGATGTGAAAGGGCTGGGCAGGAGAGGAAAGGCCCAGCTGCTGGATGTGAAGTTTGTGTGTGTTGCTGGGCCGTGGGGACAATAATGCCGCATGGTATAGAGACTGAATGCCATGGTCCACTAGAGCCTGGGAGTGGGGACAGAGCTCCTCTGTGTCACCCCCAGGCCTCTAAGGAGGACTGGTCCAGTTTCAATCCCTCCTTGCCAGTTCCCTGGCTTTGCCCTTTCACTATGAGGAGAAATCAAAGGGTGTTTAGTGTCATCACATCCACTCCCCTTTTTGAGCCAAGAAGGAAATAGCTGAGAGTGAGAGGTCAGTAGGGCCACCTAGTGAGGTGCTGTAAAACGTAATAAGAGGACTGTGCACATGGATGCACAAACACACATTCACAAACACATAGATACACATTAAAAACCTGCTCAAGTATGACTCAATAGAAGAGCGTTTTCTGAATATATGTCAGGCTCTGAGTTCAAACACACACACACACACACACACACACACACACACACACATATATATCTA